CCTAGGAGAAGAATCTTCCTCTGATCCCTCCCGAACTGGGGATGGTGGTCGAGGAGGAGCAACATATAGAACTCTCAATTTGAACTCCTCAATATGATGGCCTGACTCTTTATTGAACTATATGCAATGAGCACAGAAAAATCAATTATATTAAGCAAAATGACTGTAAATCTTCTTTATTTTACTGAGGCACAATAACTTAATGGTCGAATGGCTACCATATCTGGAGTAATATCTTTAGTGGTAGCTCCAGCACTTGCCACCACGCTCTGAAGGAGAAACTTATCCTTGCATTGCATGTCAGGAGGTGCCTCCTTTTGCGCTTGCATTGTCACTGTATCACACGGATGAATGACGGTCAATAGGTCATTACGGATGATGTTTAAAAATTCAGATATAAAGATAGGCTCTAATATATCTGTCGCGAAGTTCATCCAAAAGATTAAACAGGCTCAAAATAAAACAGGCTAACACCAACCTAAGCATACAAAGATCTATACCAACTATCAAGCAAAGATAGTTTTTCTTTTCATGCGCGTGAATACGTTCGTGCTTCTGTGTGCATATATGACAGTGATCAGGAAAAATAGGGAGAAAGAAACCTATAACATCACAAGTAGACCTCGGCAACACAATTCCAGTGTTAGGTCTAACACAGTATTTCCTGGGATTCGTTGTCTTGACCTACAAACAACCAATATCACCGCAAAATAAAAAATTGGAACTATAAGACAGATAAAAGCCCAGAAATTCACAACATAAAAACTCGAATTGATGATAAAAAGAAAAATTAACCGATAAGAAAGTTGCAGAAGTAAAATTCGCACCTTAAAAGCCACATAGTCATCTGTCTTGTTGGACAACTGCAGTGAGCAGGAGATCTGCTTCCTCAATTCAACTATTTGAGAAACAAAAAGGCGAGAAAAATCAGAAGAACGCCAAGAATCGGAAAAGGAACACACAGGAAAGGGAAAGAAACAAAAACTAAAGAAAGAAAGAAAACCAGATTATATTATATTAATATTATTCTACTTTTTGGAATTCAAGTCTTACAGGGAAATTGAAGGTCCTGGGGGTGGATATTGAGGAGCTCGCCTGTACTCATGCCGGAGTAGTTCACCGGAGACCAGAAGAAATGGCCCTTTCCGTCAAACAGAAGAAGACGATTTTCGAATTCCGGGGAGCAGCGAGGAAGGCAACAACAACGTGAGACAGACGGTTTTGTCTCTCTTCAATCTTTGGAGAAAGCTTTGCTGCGTGCGGTATTAATGGCAGGACATTTTCGTCTTTTCCGCCCCTCCAAAAACTTCTAGAACTAGAACGATAGGATTCTTTCCTTTTATTTTCCTTCTCTTTTTTGCTTCTCTTTTCTAAAATTTGTTCGTAAAAGCAAAATTCATTTTAAGAACCTTTATTTTATTTTAATAATAACAATGACAACAACAATATATCAGCATTAATTTTAATATATATTAAGATAAAATTAATCAAAAGTGTCTACGATGTTATTATCAATAATCAATAATTAACATGAAGTGTTTAACCGATGGTAAATTTCATGCTGCCTTTAAAATAAAAAATACAAGGTGAACAAGTTAACTTAATTTAATAAGAATTTTTTTTCAGATTATTCCTTTAATTTTTCCGACATTATTATATTATCAAGAGTTTATAATTGTGTGGTTCTGTATTTATTTACCAAGGAATTTTCACGAATTGATATATATAATTTACTTTCAAAGCAGAAAAGAGAAGGGATATAATCCTTTTGATAATTTTTATTATTTTATTTTTTTAAATAACTCTTCATGATCCATTGTAATAAACTATAATTTCGACGTTATACTAATATTTGCAAGGACCAAGTTTCATATTTAAAAAAGAGTGGAAGCCCATCCTTGCATTGATTGTATCATCCTTTTTAATGTTTGTATAATTGAAATAACATAAAATGGGAAGGTAAAGCTTTAAATACTATAAAGTTAACCGCTTTCTTCCCTTAAAAAACAGAAAAAAGAGACAATTATTATAAGCTTCAGATGAAAAAATTTAAATATGAAAAAATCTTAATAACAAATTAGTAGTTGTCATTTCTTATATTAAAATTTGTTATTTCAGCTGTTTTGTTGTTATTAGGACTTTTCAGTAATTATATTTTTTATTTAAAACTTCATATCAATTCTGTAGAAAAATAAGAAAATAAAAAATTGTAACAAGTTCAAACTACATATATTTTTCAGTCGATGTCAGATATAAAATGTAAAATTTATTAAAAAAATTTATTATTCATAGATATAGACATTGCAGCTTCCTTCTAGTTTCATGTAACTTTTTCTCTTTCGGAAAAACGTGTTTATGGCGCACATCCTAGGGTACTCCATATCTTTTTTTATGTTAATATTCCTCCACAAATTTTAATATAATTTAGATCTAAATATTGAAAATATGATTATATTTTTCAACAAACTTTTAGATTAATTGTGTGCAAGAAAGATATATAGTTTGAAATAATTTGAATTTTTTGCTAAAAAATAAAATAATTTAAATTTAAATTTAAAAATGGGGTCACAATTGGAATGAATATTCCCTCTAATTTTAAGAGTGCGTGAGTTTGTGCGTATTGGCACAGAAATTAAATATATAATAATATTTCAAAATTTCTTATATATTTTTAAATTTATTCTTAATCAATTTTATGATTAATAGAAAGAAAAATAGATATTTTTCTGGCCAACAGAAAAATTCATGTTTCCCGGCTTAGTTAATGTTCAAACATGTGCTTTAATGGGTTAAAACTTGCCCAAGTCGTTCTTTACATCCCGCCCATTCTCCCCAGGCCTTCATCATCCTCCCAATCAATTACAGCTATTAACCAACAAGTGTTCAAATGGAAGAGACTTGAACACTTTAAACATCATATTCTGGGTTTGATTATTGAAGCGGTGTGTGTAGAATAAACGCTGTAAGGAGGGGTCTCAGCTATAGCGCTTGACAGTACCCAAGAGATTAGTCTCTCATTGTTTGGGTGGGAAGATACTCTGGGTAACTGAAAATTCCGGCTATTATTATTATTATTATTACTGGGAGAGATATTTACAGACACTCTTCTTTATAGAAATATGACACGTGGGAGGAAACGTTTTGCAATGTTAGTGCAAGTAATTTGTGTTTTATTGCTGTTTTTAATTTTAAAATATGAATTGTTAGTCTCTTAAATTTCAAACACCATAAAAATGATCTCTCATCCTCTATTTAAGCCGCAAGTCATCCTCCATGTTCTATCCTTGTACATATGCCTCAGCTTTCATCTTAAAATTTCAGTTTTATTTATATACTCCCACCACCACTATATACTGCTTCTAGTTTCTTAATATAAGAAATAATTTAATTTTTAATTTATTTTTCATATTTATTTATTTTTAAAGTATTCTTTGCAGTAGTTAAATAATATACATGATTAGCAAAAATGTTTTAGAAAAGACAATACATATTTATTACACATAACTAACTTAACTAATTTATTTAATATACTCAAATTAGTTAACTAATTTTTATATTAAAAACTATAGGTAGTATAATATACAAATAACTAATTAGGTATATAAAAAAAGTGAGTCAAAATTAGTTAAATACAATAAATATGTAAGAAACATATTTATTTTTTTAAATACATCCTTATTAATGAAGGTGGTGTGTGAGGAAGAATAAGTTGAAAAAAAAAGAATCAAAGAAAATGTATATTTAAAAAAATAGAAACGCAAGAGAGTCTACTGAAAAAAGAGTGCATAAAATATATTTTTGGTTAGTGTGTAATAATTAATACATAGCCCCGTAATTATCACAACTAATAATCAGTTGGTCAAGCACTGGGTTCAGACCTAATGTCCCACCCCCTTTTTCCTCCCGTGCCAACGGAACATAATGCTCCACTTCCAGAACCGGTAAATTAATTTGAATAGATTAAAAATTTTTAATTAAATTAGTTATTTGTAAAAAAATAGATATTATTTTTTTTAGAATACCATTACTAATTATATGTATTAGCTAAAACTATTATTTATTGAAACATTTAACATATACAATTATTATAAGGACTATCTTAAAAAAAATATACAAATATAAAAGACGAAATAAATTAAAATCTTATATTCCTCCGGTCCTAAAAATAGGACTCATTTTACAGTATAAATATAAGACCTATTTTATAATGTAAATTATATTATAAAATGGGTCCTATATTGAGAATCTAAGGAGTATTTAGAATTAAATTAAAAATCAAACTAGTATTTATATTAAGAACTTAAGATAATATATTTTATGAGAAAAGATACATTTTCTACTCTTAGTTTGACTCAATAATTTTATAAAGCATTTTTCCGGTCCTCTAATATTAATAATTGGTCTCCAAATCATCCCCACCAAACATTTCTCCCCCTCCCATCTACCTTAACTTCTCAATCCCATCACCTTCCTGTTCCAACCTACCAAACACCTAATCGCTAGGTATTGAATCAGCCAGGAAGTTCACTTTTGTTCTCCAACTGTCATCCTCCCCTTCTCTCTGTGTGTGAGCGGGGGGTGTGTGTGTGTGAGCGGGGGGAGGGACGCCAAGCAGGAAAAATTCATTTCCCCCATCATTCAAATAGTATAAACATACAAAACGTATCTGAATTCTGGGAATTCACTACCAGATTACACGAATGAAACTAATACTACCTCCGGTCCTAATTATAAGACCCAGTTGACTTATTTGAGGAGATTAAGGAAGTAAGTTAAGTTAGTTATTTGTAATAAATAAGTGTTGTCATTCCTAAAATATCCTTGCTAATTAAGTGTATTGGCTAGAACTATCATTATTAGAAGGATTATTTTGAAAAAAAATGTATAAATATGTGAGACAAAATGGATTGGGGTCTTATAATTAGGACCAAACAAAAAGTCAAACGGGGTCTTATAATAAGGACCGGAGGTAGTATAACTTATCTTAATAGTTACAAAGAAAGTGTGCAACACGCAATTTGATATCCTGATTCCTGGGGTATAAAACCGGATCACCAACCAAGTCTTTGTCTGGCCGACAGACTGAAGATACATGTATTGATATTATTAGCATATCAAGAAGCAGAGCATGGAGACAACTTCCGGACCAATTCACATTGTATATACAGATAGAGCATGAGTATGCTCCTGTAAATAGGACGACACCATAAAGTAAATCTGCAAGAAGTCATCATTTTATTCACTAACTGCAGCAACAGAAGTAGCGGGTGGAGAAGACTGCTGACGACGAGCTCGGGCAGTTACTCCAGCAAACCAAGCAACCCTCATGATCTGCAAACCGAGAATCAATACCCACCAGCAAACCAACCCCCTAATTGTATGCACCATCCATGCTGGGGTGCTGAGTTCGGCCCCAAGTCTCAAACCTCTCATCAGCTGCAAGACCCGGTAAGACCCGTAAATGATCGGGGTTACTAGCCAGACTGGCGACTGCCATTGCCAAGTGAGAACCTCAGTGAGAATTTGTACTGACAAAAGAAGAAGGTAAGGACCAAGTAGGATTGCAAAAGAGATCGAAGGAAGTTGGGGCTGGAGAAAACCCTTCTCGGACCCAAATATCATCAATAGTGGAACAACAAATCCGGTAACAGTTGCAACGATGTTCCAGAACTGGTAACTAAAGGGGGCCTTGCTTTTGCAATCTTCTGTTGGGGACTTTGGTCGTGCACAAGCATCAGCCATAAGGAGAAAAAGGGTCGCGCCAAGGTTAAAGATACAATCAAGTCCAATCAATGAAAGCAAGCTAGCTATATTAGAGCCAACAAAGATTGAAGATATTGGTAACCACAACGTTGGAACCATGCCTGTCGTGAGAAGAACGGAAGGGCCTAGAATCCACATGGGCCATTTGAGAAACTGAAACAAAACATCTGGCTCAAATTTTGTCTCTACAGGCGCATCAGCATTGTTCATTGCTGGCTCATTGCTTTTGCTAGAATCAAGGGTGTCGAATATATTGGTGCCAGTCTGCAAGAATTTATCACCCTGATCATCAGTAGGAGCATATGTAACAGGTGATGGTTCCCATGGAGTCAACTTTGTGCAGCATATGCAGGATTGCTTCTTGTAAATGCGAGGAAATGTGAGTTCCTGGAATACTTTTCCTGATTTTAATAATCCCAGGCTACTAGGATGAGCCCTCCCAAAAGTGAAAGTTTGTATTTTAATAAGAGGTTGAGCCAATGATGTCATTCCTCTATATATGCCAACAACTCTGCGGGTTTTTGTACTGACTATCCTTTGACACCTGAAATCAAGAAAGGGCAATCTGATGATGGCACAGTGATTGTTGTTCCCATAATTAAGAAACTACATTTTTGCAATGAAATTTGCACCATACTAAAAATCATCATATGCTGCTTTAATCAGACTGTGAGAAAATATAACACTAGTCATATGAAAAGAGAAGGATTACGATAAGAATCACAGCTCTGAAAAATGTATTATTCAAATGGAATATGCCCCTCCACAGAGTGTAGGTCTTATGCATGTCTCCAAGATAAGAAAGAAGAGAACGAACAGTACCACACTGTGCATTCGAGAGGCAAAGAAACTCTCCTTACAATTTCCATACCCTTTCGAATAACCAGACCCTGTTATATAACCCCTTCTCTCTCACTAACTGTCAATTCTAAAATACCACAAATGCTCGCTCTCACATGGTTCACACCCGCATATCAATATTACCTGTATATCCAATAGATTATCTAAGGGTGGTAAAAAGTAAATTACAGGGCCTCCATATGTGAGAGGATAATCTTTTGCACGTTAATACATTGATTCATCGAATATTATCCACCACTTCTACTGAGTGCCTTGTAAGCATTCCCTGTGCCTAGAATACAAACTTCACAGAAAACCATGAGATGTTGCACGGTTAATGGGGGGATTCAATGGATTATCAATCAAGTTGTAAGGAGCTGATCTAAAATAACTCAGGTCCCGTTTGGTACGAAGCATTGAAAATGAGGGATTGGGATTAGGATTACAATTAAAAAAATCATTAAAATAGTACTTAGTATGAATAATTGTTTGTTAGATGGATTAGGTATACCCATAAAGGTGGGATTGGGGAATACCACTTCCCCCTATGGTATTCTCCAATCCCACATACATAGCTTTGGCTAATCCCATATATCAAACAATCTCTTATACTAAACACTCTCTTAATAGATTTTTTTAATTATAATCCCAATCTTAACCCCTCATTTTCAATGCTTTCTACCAAACGTAACCTCAGAGTAACCTTCTAGGAAACAAATTAACTAACTTCTATATAGATAAATATGATTCATTGATCAATCATTGAAAGGAAATGTGCAAGAGGCATTATGGTGTGGGAAACAAATAGATTCTATAGAACCTTGTAATTTGGTCTAAAATCGTTGAATTTCTGATGCAAGATATATTAACAGAAAAACAATCAGGTAAGTGACAACACTAGTACATATTGTAATTTATATTAGTTTCCTGTTCTGGCCTTTTTGCATATTCGTTTAGAAAGGTATATTATTATGAGTTTGTAGCATTCAATTCTTATCAAGGTAGGTAAATATTCATGTATGCATCCTCTCTGCTGAGGCTAAGGCTCATATTAGTGGTGCTAAGTTTAAGCATGGAAGAGAAAGCTACATCCTCCATGGTTAGCACAGAGCCACAGATTACAATCTTTACCAGATCTACCAGTTTGTGCCTTCCATACACTGCCACCCTCGTTCTCATTGCAATATTAAAAGAACACGAGTACAGATTCCACAACTAAGTTTAGCACTCCTTATGTTGACTGATTAGCACTTGTGCAATCTTTGCGGCTGTGCTCTGATCACTTTTACTCTTTCTTTGTTTTTTTTTTAAATATTCTCAATATTTAAATCTTATGAAGATTCGTTTTCAATTAAAATCTTGTGTTAACATTTACACACTGACTACTAGGGCAAAAAGTCAAAACAAAAGAAACTTTTTTGGGGCTTTTATAATATAACTTATCGCATGATATGTCTAATAAAAGAATCAATTTAACAATGTCAATGAGCTCCGAAATAGTGACATGTATTATGAACTAAGTGCTTCATTCTCACAAGACAGAACTGAAAGTAGACAATAAAAAACAAAACACTAAAACTTTCGCTCGTTTAAATCCTTAGTTATAACCCCTATACGATGCTCAAATAACGGATCATACAGAATAAAAATGGCACATGGCTCTGCTAACAATACCACTCTTCCGAAATGAGTAAGTAAAAAAAAATCAAGTCAAAGCAGATACAGCGCGCCTAGGCATAAAGTAAAGTTAAAATTCAAGCAGATTTTCAAGTTTTCTTTTCCAATCGATTCCCATCAGCCAAACAAGAGATGACTGGAGAGTAAATATCTAATGAATCAGAGACGATTTCCGAGAAAAGCATAGACATATTGTGATTGCAGAGAAAAAGGAATCCAATAACAAAAATCAGAATTTGAAGAAAGCAGATTGTTACCTCTGGCTCCGGGTATGGGCGAAGCTGAATTCTTCTGCAAATCATAAAAATCCCGCGATTGTTCAGTGATTAGGGGCAAATTTTACAAGCTTTGGTGCCGTCCGCTGAAGTTCGAACAGGTAAACGACACGGGGAGTGGAGAGAAAAAGTGAAAAACAGATCCAAAAATAAAAATAAAAATAAAAACTAAAGTATATTTTTTATCCTTTAATTTTACATAATATTTTTTTTCGTCCTTTAATTTAAAAAAAGTAAATTTTAAGCTTCTAATCCTAAAATCATTACCAAAAAAATAATAATAATAAGCTCTTAAATATTGATAAAATATTATTAAATATTAACATATTAAGCTTAATTTTTAAAATAATTATGATTAGTATAAAAAAATTATCATTTAATACTAATAATTTTAGGATCAAAAGACTAAAAATATATTATCTTTGGCCCTAACTGTAAAAGTTAGTTGACTAATTTAAGTATATTAAGAAAATAAATTAAGCTAGTTATTTGTAATAAATATGTATTGTCTTTTTTAAAATATCCTTACTAATCAAGTTTATTGAATAAAACTACTATTAATAGAATGATTGTCTTGAAAAAATAAATAAATGTAAGAGATAAATAAATCAAGGTCTTATGTTTAGGACCAAAATAAAAATTAAATAAATTTTTATATTAAAGGATAGAGGTAGTACTTTTTAATCTCTAAGAATAATCTAAAATCTTACATAAAATTCAAAAACCAAATATACACTTTACCCTAAAATAAAAATGTCCTTCAAGTTTTAGTAGGATAAATACTTGCTAGAAGGCTTTTCTTCTCTAATCTACTGCTGTTAAACATCGTGATTTTTTTATAAGAGAATGACAAAAGCATACATTGTGAATTTTAAAATGATAAATAGATGGTTTTAATAAATTTTGACATGTCAAAACTATTGTAAAAATAATCAAATTTATTACAATAGTAATTAGTTTGACCTATTTATCTTGTAAAATTCAATAGGCATGTTTAAGTCTTCTTTTTTTTCACTCGTGGTTCATTGATATTCTTTAATAAATGATTCAGAATCAATATGTGTGTGTATTATATGCTACTGTATAATTTTTATTATTTATAAGAAATCCATTCATTAACCCTTTTTCAAAAGCTTTGGTAAAAAGAAAAAAACGCTTTTTGAAATCCACAATTTTTGGAGGCTTTGCAAATATGCAGCTAGAAGGGAAAATGACATTTGAGTACCCCATAGAAAGATTAATACATTCAAAACCCTAACTATTGAAATTTTAATAAAGAGCCATGGTCTTTTGTGGGAGCTAAAAATTAACCGGGTTAACTACAACGCCTTTTTTTAATTAAAACATTCAATTTTTCCATTTTGATTATTTTTTCCACTTACCTAAATCCAAGAGTAATCTTTTTCAACTGAGTTAAGCGATTATTTATTTTTGATTTTAGATGTTCAAATTAAATTTATTGATGCAGGACGGGAAAGGGAAAAAGGGAAGGGATAGAAGGGAAGGGAGAAAAAAGGGAAAGAGGAGAGGAAGGGAGAGACAAGGGGAGAGGAGAATGGAAAATATTAATTACTGTATTATTCAGTCATCTAAACTGAATGCAAAAAAAACTTTAACCCTTTTTATAAAGTTTCTGGAAATATAAAATAATAATAAAATCCTAAATCAAATTCTAATCATAATCAAAGACAATAAAGATAATTAATGTAATAAATCATAATTTTAATGGATAAATATCCTTATTCAGATCTCTAATAGATACCCTAATTAATTTAATTAAATCCTAATTATTTCGTATCCCCTACTCCATCACTTATATAAGAAGCAATATCTAAAACGTGCGTTTTGGTTCTTGGTGATAATATGTAGTTCTTATGATTTAGTCAATATAAGATATTAACAGTAAACTTGAGTCAAAACAGTATGGGGTGTGGGGTATGGTTTTACGAAGGCATGCGCAGCAGAGGCTTCCAGTACGAGAGTTTCAAATGAAGATAGAGGGGATTAGCTGGAAAGAGGTTTTTTTTTTTTTTTTTTTGGAAGTCTGTACTTTAGGTTTCTTCGAATCATCATGTAATAATTATTAAATACTACTAATACTTAATACAAAAGTTAATTGATTAATTTTGATAGATTAAGAAAACTAGTTAAATCATTTATTTGTAATAAATAGGTGCTGTCTTTTCTAAAATATCATTACTAATCAAGTGTATTAGTTAGAACTAATATTATTACAAGGACTACCTTGAGAAAAAAAATAGATAAATATAAGGGACAAGATGAATTAGAGTATTATATTTAGAATTAAAATAAAAGTCAAATAAATTCTTATATTATGGGCCAGAGGCAATAGTTCCCTTGGAAGTAATCGTAGCGTCAAGCATGCTCACATAATACTATCTTCAGTACTTAATATAAGAGCTAGTTTAACTTTTAATTTGGCCTTAAATATAAAAACCCAATTCATTTTGTCTCTCACATTTTTTTATTTTTTCTAAGGTGACCGTTATAGTAATTACACATTTTAAATATTTCATCAAATAATAATTCTAGTTAATACAGTTATTAAAAAAGGTATTTTAGAAAAGACAATATCTATTTATTACAAACAACTAACTTAACTAATTTTCTTAATCCACTCACATTGGTTAATTAGTTCCTGGAGGTAATACTTAACAATTTATCCAATACAATTGCCTTCTGCATTTTATTATTTAAAAAATTAAAAATGAAAAGACTATTTATTATTTTATCATTTAAGTTACTTGATGGTTAGTATAAACAACCAAGATATGGTTTGCTTTATTTCCACATCATAATATTTGGCCGTTTCCTAGTTAACCATCAAGACGATAAATTCTTTAGTTGTTTTACGCTGGTCTCCTTGACCATTAAATATTGGGTGCCAATATGAGCATTCAGTGGCTATATAAGATATTCCTTTCCGTCTTTTTTTTTGTAAGCAACATAAGATTATATTATGTAAATTAAAAAGTTAGTTAGTTAAAAATAATAAACAAGTAAAAATTGAAAGTTCTTTTTCCAAAATACCCTTATTTATTGAGGAAAAAAGTATAAGAAAGAGAATAAGAAAATTATTATAATAAAAAGAATTATAAAAGAGAGAAAATGTGTTATGGAGAGAGATGATGTTTGAAAAATGAAATAATATACATATTGAATATTAAATAAATAATTAATAGAGGTAAAATAGAAAATTGCTACAAAAATTTAAAATAACTTGTAAATATTATTTATATTTAAGAAAAAAAGATGATGGTGGTTTTTTTTATAAAAAAAGACAGAAAAGAATATTGTTATATGTTTCCACTGTTCTTCTATTAGTAGCATATAATTTTTTGTACACTTTTCCATCATTAATTGTTTTACTAACCGTCAAAGTCGAAAGTTCTACATCCCCTTTTGGGGACCATCTTTCTCTTACAAGACAACATGACACACTAAAATAAACAGGATATTAGCGGCGGAATTTAGTGACATAATTTTATTCCGTTGCTAATCCCTCAGAAATTTTGTACTAAAATTAGCGACGGAAAATTTCTGTCACTAAATTAGTAAAGGATTAGTGATAGATTCTTATTCTGTTACAAGTCCATAGCTAATTTTGTTTTAAATGATTAGTGACGGAAAATTCCGTGACTAATCCATCACTAACTCTCATTTTGTGACGAAAATTAGTGACAGAAAAATTCCGTCACTAATTTCCGTGGCACAAAAATATAAATATATAATAATTATTTTTTAAAACTTATTATTAAATAAAAATATAATATATCATAATTTTTAAACAATATATTATATAAAAATTAAAAAATACAAATATTATAAAAGAAAATAAAATATATATAATATACTTATTATTTTATTAAATATTTGAATAAAAATATAAATTATTGGAAATTTTTACTAAATATAAAATTAAATTCAAATAAATAATAATATATTAAATTATTATATATATTAAATTATGTATATTATATTTATTATATATATTTGTATTTGTTATTAAAAATGTTATATATTTTTTTGTAAAAAATTTCACAGGTGCTTCTCAGCTCAACTGGCAAAGGTTTCAGCACGCGTGCAGGAGATCTCAGGTTCAAACCAACACTTCTTCACAAATTAGCTCAATTGTGACGTAGCAATGACGTGGACGTTATGATGTCGTGGCCCTATGGGAAATAGGAGGAGTTGAGGTGGCATCCAATGATGGACACGTGGTAATGACGTGAATGAAGAGATGACGTGACAACATGGGGGAGAGAGAGAGGGGAGTTGGTGAGGTGGCAGCCATTAATGATGTGGCAGCTAATAGTGAATGGACATGTGGCGATGATGTGGTATTTTAAATCTACAAAATAAAAAAAATTTAGTGATGGATTTAGTGATGGAAATTTTTGTCACCAATTTGTGACAGAATTTTCCGTCACAAATCCATTATTATTTTGTGACAGAATTTTTGTGGGATATCCATCACTAATTAGCAACTGATTAGTGATGGAAAATTTCCGTCACTAATTTCCGTCGCTAATCCGTCAATAATCCATCGCTAATTTTGAATTCCGTCACTAATTATTTAGTGACAGAAAAAATTCCATTACTAACTGAATTCCGCCACTAATCCGTCACTAATTTTGATTAGTGACGAAATTCCGTTACTAAATTCCGTCGCTAATTTGATGTTTTTTTGTAGTGTAGATTAATAGGACCATGAATGTATGAAATTACAAAGAAGGACAAAGGTTTAAAAGAGGGAAAATGGATTAAGATACCTTCGTGTAGTTGCCAATTAAATCTCGAAAATTTAGTTGGAAAAATTGAAAGATTCAATTTTAAAAACTGAAAGATTATTAAATAAATTGTAAATTGTCAAAATGGTGTAAATTTCGGAACTCCAAGGATTCGGTTGCAAAATTCGAAAAAACTATTGGCCAATGGCCAGCTTGTCAGTGTTTGAATTGAGTCCTCGGTTATTTTTTTGCTGATGCTGATTCCATAATTTACTATTGTGATTTTTGTTTTGTCCAACTGCATTTTCAAAATTCGCAAAC